ATTTCCCCATAAGATTGTGTGTGTGTATATATATATATTTAAAATAAAAGTATAAAAATAACAAGCCCACGTGTTACTTTTTTGTATCATAAACTGATATGTATGCACATATCAAGGATTGCTCCCCTGTGTAGTGTGCATTTATTGAAATAAAACTCAACACCCAAAAGAGAGTTAGTTCCATTTAACCCCCCCCCCCCCCCTCCAGGCTGACTGGTGGGGTTTTATGTACCTGGTCCTGTAGCCTCCTGGGATGCTTACATTATGCTCCAAGAGGATGCATGATTGGGCATACAGAGTGACCAGGGTGCAGGCCTAGCTTGTCATCAGTAGCTGGCTTCTTGTACCTGAAGGAGGCAGCCAGTTGAAGGACCAAGATTGCAGCACGGGGCCAGGTTTATGTCAGATGAACAGCAGATTGCAGTGGGTCAACACTGGATGTGCATAGTGGATCAGTATATGTTTTTAAGGGTACCAACCTCTTGGTGAATAACTGCAAGAACCCCAGCAGGGGTTCACACGATTAGCTGCAAGTAGTAAGCCCCATTGAAAGCACTTGCATGTGATCACTCATGCAGCAATTAATTGCAATTGCTTGAACAATTACATGCAAGTGGGCACGATTAGCTGCAAAAGCCTATCGCTTCCCATTGCTTTCAATGGGGCTGCCTACTGGGGTTCTCGTAGCTGATCGTAAATGGGGTACATTCACAAATGTGAATGCAACCTAAGAGAATGCAGCACTACAGGTGGGATGGGAAAGAAAAAACATTGGGGGGGTTGTGTATCACTTTAAGCAGTTACGGCATAATTGGTAAACCATTGCTCGCAGTATAGTGTACAATCCTACAGCCAGATAAGGAGCAGATAGAAAAGTAGATTTTTAATTGTAAGACAAACACTTATATCATTTGGCACAGTGACAAGCTTAAGGCTAACTCACCAAGATTTATAATACAATCATGCAGTTTGTAACTGGAAAGGCTAAAGTCCATTATCAAGGGCACTTGTAAAATCTAGCTAGCATAGCATGCCATCAGTGCTGAAATACTACATGTATTATTAATACCAAAACTGCAAGCATGGATGTGATAATAACATGGCAAGAATGTGCAATTGCCTTGAAGTTGACATGTTCCAGAGGGAGAATTATACCACATTTTGTAAAGCTTGATTGTTGCAGTATTTGGCATCACAATTCCCATTACTGTGAGTTTAAATACAGAAAACATAAACAAAAGTGTTTTTCCATGTATTCAAATTTATGTAATTAGTTGGGCTTCACTAATTATCAATATCCTTAAGCCACTCTTGCCTGAAACCAGCAGCGCAAATATGGTGTCTCTGATTTAAACCGAGCTCTAACAACACAGACCCTACACTGCAGATATGATTTTCTGCTTCCCAAATATCTGTAAGGCAGATTTAATGCCTGGGTGGCTATAACAAACTGACAGACAAGCACGGAATCATGAGATGTCCAAGTCGTTTCAAAGATATTACATGCATTTTGACTTCTGTTTGACACCACTATGCCAAAATGTTTGTCCTTGTTCACGAAATAACCTAAATTGTTACCTTGTGTGTACTTTAACACATATGATAGATATTCCTACAAACTAAGATTTAAAGGTATATTTATAAGAGTGCAATAGCAATGGTATCCATTACTCCACAGTAAATGTCAATTATCAACACTACGGTAAGGCAGATAACAGCTGATTTCTATATGGGTTCTCCTTCTGGTATATACAGTTAGGCCCATATATATTTGCACACAGGCACAATTTTAGATATTTGCAGGTATTCACCACAACATTCAAGCTATAGTTATATAATGAATATGAGCTGAAAGTGCACACTCTTATGTTTAATTTGAGGGTACCAAAAGTAATTGGACAAATGAATATAATCATAAATAAAATGTTAATTTTTAATATTTTGTTGAGAATCCTTTACTGGCAATGACTGCCTGAAGTCTGGAACCCATGGACATTACCAAAAGACTGGGTTTCCTCCTTTCTGATGCTTTGCCAGGCTCTAACTGCAGCTGTCTTCAGTTGTTCTTTGTGGGTCTTTTTGCATTTAGTTTTGCCTTCAGCAAGTGAAATGCATGCTCAATTGGGTTGAGATCAGGTGATTAACTTGGCCATTGTAGAATATTCCACTTCTTTTTCTTCAAAGGGTTGTTTTGCAGTGTGTTTTGGATCATTGTCCATCTGTACTGTGAAGCGCAGTCCAATCAACTTTGCTGAATCTGGGCTGACAGTATATTATACAGTATATTATAATACAGTAAGATATTAAAAATGAACATTTTATTCATGATTATATTCATTTGTCCTATTACTTTTGGTCCCTTGAAAAAGGGGGGATGGCTACTCTTAAGAGCTGTAATTCCTAAACCCTTCCTCCAATTTGGATGTACATACCCTAACTGTAATTTCTGTTTGACTTCTAACCGGTCCATGACCAGTGGTTCTTTGCTTCTTTCTCTTTTCTTTCCCTTAAAATCTGAGCACCAGCAAAAAAAAAAACTATGTTTTCAGTAGATCTTAATAGCACTAGATCTTACAATCGCACATGGAGCATTAGCCATTTCAATACTGGGCACTTTCACCCCCTTCCTGCCCAGGCCAATTTTAAATTTTTCTGTGCTGTGCCTGGATGTCTTCTCTTTGGCTCCTTGGTGGTCTCGCTGTAAGCAGAGGTGGGGTGGGGGCTGGAGCGTGGGACGGCCATGGTAGAAAAAAATCACCGATCGCCCAGGGAAAGAGGATTGGAGGACAATTGACAGCTGGATGGATAAAGACAGGTGGTTGTCAGAGGCAGTGTAAGTTAAGTATCGAGGAGAGATCAGCAGATGCAGACACTTGTGTGCTGGAGTTGTTTATGGCGTTCATCTTTTGTAGGGCCCACTGCACAGCCTTTGTGCTATAGTCACTATCAAGCAAAAGCCTCCAGAAAAGCAAGTTCCTGATTTGATATGTGTCTGGGATGAATGCAACATGGCGTGGAGGGTTCTAACACCCTTGAGCGGCCTAATATGTAGCAAGGACAGGTGTCCAATTCCTGTGGCCCTCTGGAAAGAAGACAGAGAGAGGAGGATTCTGCTGCTGTTATAAGATGTAAGTGAAGGAGGCTAGTCCAGGAAACATATGCTATTTGAGTCTCTGTGTTACTACAATTGAACTGCCACCCATGGACTGTGAGGTTCTATTCACTATGGGCCATGTGGCCGTGCGTAGACAGACAGGCCCAGTGGTATATGAGTAGTGATAGCCCAACCTCTTGTGGTACCTCATGTTACAAGTAAACATTGCTCCAATTCATCACCAACAAACAAAAGTGAGGGGTGCACAGGTCTGATCAGCAGCAAGAGGGGAGTTTTCCAATGACAAACAGCAAAGGGGGAAGGGGGGCACTGACCAGCTGCAAGGGGGAAGACTTCTCCACTGACCAGTAGTAAGCAGACACATATCACTGATCATCTATTCTCTGGCAAAAATTCCTGATATACAGTATAAGAATGGATAGAACCACTGCATCTGATAGAATACTTTGAGACAGTTAATGGAACAGGTAATTATCCTCTGATAAGGAGGAGTCCTTTGATATCTGGTCTACGTTGACAGCACTCCAAAGCTCCCTAAAAGTGTACTTCCTTACTAGTTTCCCATATGATTTATAGTAGCAGCCATACCTTTCCATGTTTCTTACATAGCAATATGTACTATACTTTACTTTTTCTGGAAAACATTCAAACTGGAGCTCCACCCAAAGGGGAAATTCCGCTTTATGGACAGGTCCCCCGTTCCCCATTAAGGATTGGAACCTGTGGGGAGCAGGGGGAAGCGGGTACCCGAAATCGCCTAGATGATTGGAAGTTGTCCCCCCCTGTAGTCTTCTGGGACACGTGACAGATCCCAGAAGACTATGGGACCATTCACAAAGCACAGCGCTACTCGTGCAAGCACAGTGAGCACCCGGATGTGCAGCCGCAAGCTATCACAGACAGGTGCCCACACTAAAGATGCTGGCACAGGAAACACAGGGCGGCTGGTGAAACTGGCTGCGAGGTGGAGGGTTTATTAAATTTATTTTATATTCACTGGAACTCCACTTTAACTATCTGGGTTAAATAGAGTTCTTCATCGACCTGCTGTCTTCTTGTTTCCACAATTCTTAGCTTGAGAAGTTGTAGTCTGTATGGTACAGTCATCACAGAAAATGTGGACAACAATTTCTTATGTCAGTCTGGTTTGGCCCTGGCTTGGATCAGGGCTGTTATTCAGTAATCATATATTTAGACTCCATGCACACTAGTCTTTTTCTAAGCCTCTAGAAACTGTTATCAGCATTTTTTTCTACTCGTAGAAGCTACATAGTGTTATCCTATGTGTCCATGCACACTATTTTAGGCTAGTAGCGTTTTTCAAACTTCAGCGTTTAAGAGCAGAAAAAAACTTTGTTTTTGTAGAGTTTTGGGGAGCGTTTTTCCAGCAGAAAAAACACTAAATGCTACTAAAACGCTAATAACAGCTTTTTCTAGCTTTTTTTTTTCCTACATGTACTGTAAAAACCCTAATAAAATGCTAACGCTCCTAAACGCTACTAAACTGCTACTAAAAATCGATATTACCAGCCTTTTTTATCCAGCATTTTTTCCAGCCCTAGTGTGCATGGAGCCTTATAATGTTTCATTATAACATACATTTTACATGTCCAACTCCAGACAACATTTTAGTTGTGTTTAAAGTGGAAGAGGGTTGGAACATCTGTCAGGGTGTTATTATTCTTGTTCGGGTTGAATAGCTATCCGTTCACTTTCTGTTTCAGTAATGGTTGAGTTGTCAATTGCTTACAGATGGAAAAACATAGTAACAGAGATGGTACAAAATCTTTACATTACACTCAAAGTAACATCGTACAAAGGAGGCCCTACAAGGTCATCGTGCAGCATAACAATATACCGTATTTTTCGCTCCATAAGACGCACCTGACCATAAGACGCGCCTAGGTTTTAGAGGAGAAAAACAAAAAAAAAAATATTCTGAACCAATGAACTGCAGACACAGTACAGGGGATGACCAGAGACTGCAGACACAGTACAGGGGATGACCAGAGACTGCAGACACAGTACAGGGGATGACCAGAGACTGCAGACACAGTACAGGGGATGACCAGAGACTGCAGACACAGTACAGGGGATGACCAGAGACTGCGGACAGTACAGGGGATGACCAGAGACTGCAGACAATGTACAGGGGATGACCAGAGACTGCGGACATAGTACATGGGATGACCAGAGACTGCAGACACAGTACAGGGGATCACCAGAGACTGCGGACAGTACAGGGGTTGACCAGAGACTGCGGACAGTACAGGGGATGACCAGAGACTGCAGACACAGTACAGGGGATGACCAGAGACTGCGGACACAGTACAGGAGATGACCAGAGACTGCAGACACAGTACAGGGGATGACCAGAGACTGCGAACATAGTACAGGAGATGCCCAGAGACTGCGGACACAGTACAGGAGATGACCAGAGACTGCAGACACAGTACAGGAGATGACCAGAGACTGCGGACATAGTACAGGGAATGACCAGAGACTGCGGACACACAGTACAGGAGATGACCAGAGACTGCGGACACAGTACAGGGAATGACCAGAGACTGCGGACACAGTACAGGGGATGACCAGAGACTGTAGACATAGTACAGGGAATGACCAGAGACTGTGTACATAGTACAGAAGACCAGAGACTGCAGACAGTGCAGGGGATGACCAGAGACTGCAGACAGTAAAGGAGATTACCAGAGACTGCGGACCTTTGGGGAGGGAGGGGGAGCGGGTGCCTGAATTTGACAAGTACCCGCTCCCACTTCCACGGAGTTGTCCTTCCTTCTTCTTCCCGCGGCGGCTTCTGTGACAGCCGGGTGCCCACTGCGCATGCGCGAGAAGCCCGGAGCCTTCTGGGATCTGTCATGTGTCCCAGAAGACACCGGACCATTCACAAAGCGTGGCACTTCTCGCGCATGCGCAGTGGGCACCCAGCTGTCACAGAAGTCACCGCGGGAAGACTGCAGCGCTGGAGCGAGGAACAGATAAGGTCCTGCAGGAGAGAACAGCTGAGCGGCCGGCCCGGTATTCTGAAATGGTGGCGGCAGAAATACCGGAACGGCCGCTTTACATTCGCTCCATAAGACACACTGACATTTTCCCCCCTTTTTTGGGGGGAAAAAAGTGCATCTTATGGAGCGAAAAATACGGTAGGTAATTAGTCTGTTTCAGCATTTGTAACGTAACAATCCCAGGGATACCTCATCCTGGGACTGGGGATTAGGGGGTGGTACAATTTGAAAGGAAATATAGCCTCTGTGATGGGCAACTGAGGGGCAAAAATAGGACATCGACTAGTAAGGACCATTGAGGGAGATAAGGGAGTTGAGCGGACAAAGAGACAAATTTGCAGGGTGGGAAGCAAGAGGGAGAAAGGAAAGAGAAAAAAGTAGAGGGAGGGAGACTAACCAGTGCTTGCTGGAATAGGGCCAAGATATCAAAGGTCTCATCAGGAAACTTAACTAATAAGTAGGGTTATACCTTTTAAAAAAATAGTGAGAAGGGTCAGGTATATAGTGGGTGATCCAAGGCTCCCAAATTTTGTGGAATTTAGACAATCTTCTATCATCGACAGGGGTGTATTTACCACAAGGCAAACAAGGCATTTGCCTAGGGGTGGCATTTTTTAGGGGGGCAGTACTACCCCCTGGAAGAAGGGAAATATGCGGCATGGGGACCAAGTGGGACCTGAGAAAGGCTGTGGGCTGCTTGATGGTGTATGTAGACAACAACTGTTGTTCCCAGGGATGTCCAGAACTGCGAAGATGAGTGTCTCTCTCTCTGTCACCATTGGGGGAGGTGTTAGTGGAAGGCTCTCTTGGGTGGGGGGGTCTGGCATTGATCAGTGTCCGGTTCTCTCTCTGCTGTGAAGAGGGGGGGGTCCGATTTTTATGTTGCCTAGGTCAGCACAAAACCTACACACCACTGATCATCAAGGTTGGCTGCCATTTTTCAAACGTGATGCTTAAGTTACTATGAGGTTTAGGCTGCTCAAAGGCAATGGTTGGTTTTCTTCAGGATCTAGCTATTTTCTGTATGTACCAGAACATATTATTGCCATTTGTGTTAAATGGGAACATAGACAAAAATACCTACTTGACAGAGGTTATAACTTTGGATTATTCAGAGGTTCATGGTCTCTTTTCAGCTCCACTAATGGCTTTTGTGTGTAATCAAAATGCCTGATCTGCAGGTGTTATGAAAGGGAGATAAGATCCTGAGATACAAAATTATTATTGCAAGGGGAAAATCTCTTTTAAGAGAATAAAAAATGTGTTTTCTATGGACCCCATAACTGTAAAGTGAAAATCAAGTGCATATAGGTCTCTTTGGGACTGTTTTATGATAAAAGTGTCTGTATGAAAATGGTATGCTTTGTTTTTTGCCCCGCCTCTCATTATAAATCCCTTTAATTTCAATACATTCAATTCAATTTGTATACACAGCGAGTATCCATTCATGTAATTTCTTTCCTATATTAAATGTATAGCATAGTCATTTCCAATACATTTTCACCTACACACTGTTAATCACTGTTCCTTTCCTACGCCTTCTATCTAGTCTCGTGTTAGGTACTTCAGTCATCAGCAAGCCCACACTTATTCATTAAACTGTTCTAAACTTTTAAACTTTTCTGCATAACTGTTTTAAATCTTTTTTATATGACTGAAACTTTGTGAGAAATGTATAAATTGCATAAAAAGAGGCCAGAATGACAATGGAGTTGTCGATCGTGGCTGACAGTGCCTGGAAGTTCTTGCAAATAGTTTTCTATTTTTTATTGTTCTCTTTTCACACACCTGATATGACAGCTATGTAAACAGTAGCACCTTATCATCATATCAAACAAATTGGAACTGTATTCATGAAAGGCCAAACCATATCAAACAGAAAATAACATACAATGTGAACCACATAAAGAATGTTTCATATATGACAGTAAATGACCAGAGAAGCTGCCCTCCATTGTGAAACGTGAGATCTCTGAAAGATTAGATTATTAGTTAGCAGATGGTGTGATGAAAGATAAGCACTTGACACATACAACAAAGGCCATAAAAACAAATTGAGGATAGAAGTGAGTTTAACTCCTTGGTGCCGAGTATATGCAAATATGCGGCCTCTTGGTAGCTGGGCCTTGGCGCCGAGGAGCTGCAAATTTGCAGGGCTTGAAAAAGCAGTTCGCCCGTGATCCAAATGTGAGGAGAAATTCCTATGTGGTGAGCGGCGAGCAGCGAGCACAGATGAAGCATGAAGCGACTGCACCTGCGCTCCAAGCCTCATTGTGAAGCTGAGTTCCGGTTTACAACTTCTGGTTTCCGGCTTCTGCGGCACCGCCACTGAGGGGACAGGTGCAGAAGAGGTCCGCTCTCCTCCGCTGAGAGGAGACACCCTCTCCACCGCCGTGGGGGACTCGGAGGGACTAGGACTAAGTACTGTATACATGTCATATCACTATAATGGAGTACAGGGGAGCTGGGATATACATTACTCAGTAATGTATATCCCAGCACCCCTGTACTCCATTATAGTGATATGACATGTATACAGTAATGTATATCCCAGCTCCCCTGTACTCCATTATAGTAATGACATGTATACAGTAATGATTACTGTATACATGTCATATCACTATAATGGAGTACAGGGGAGCTGGGATATACATTACTGTATACATGTCTGTCACGATATGGGTCTCTGCCAGTCCCAGTTATCAATTCCTTTATTAATCCCTCCTGGCCATAGAGAGAGCATCCTCAAATTAGTATTCACTCCTGTGTGCCAAAGGCCCCTAGCTGTAATTAACTCGCCCCTCCACAAAAGGTCCCAAATTCAATTAGTGTATACACCACTAATTAGTGCCTTAATTTTGTATTAATGTATTTTCCCCACTGTTACACTGTTTACAGCTGCAGATTAAATTATTGTGTCCATCCTGTTCAACCAGTCGTTTGCCTCGTTATAATATCCTCCCCACTAATTAGTGCCTTACTTTTGTATTAATGTATTTCCCCCACTGTTACACAGCTGCTTACAGCTGCAAATTCAATTATCGTATTTCAGTGTCCAGCCTGTCCAACCAGTCCTTTTTGTTTACAGCTACAAATTAAATTACTGTAGTTCCATTCCTGTCCATTCTCTTCATTATCACCTGCTAATGACCCCCCTCCGCCTCACGTCCTGCTCAGGGGGTTTAAGAGGCCAGTGCTGGTCTCTCTTGTTGTTCCATTCTATGTACAGTCACTAAGGGATCTCAGCTGTGGGACAATAGTGGCCAGACTCTGCCTAAGCCTCATTGGAGCAGGAGGACCCCAGAAGCTACATTAGGCCTGCCTGCAATGCCATCAGCTCTGCCTGAGACTACCACACCAGCTTTGCCTGAGACTACCACACCAGCTCTGCCTGAGACTACCACATCAGCTTTGCGTGAGTGTATGCTTCCCCGGTGTTGTCTGAATGTTTATGAACTGCTGTAGAGACTTTAACTTTGCCCACCGGGGCTGGATTACAAGTATTTCGGACTCTCTCTCTCTCTGCACTACTCCCCATTGAGTGACTGTCGTCTGTTCTAATAAAGCTATAACTGTTTGCCATCTACTCTGTGTGTTCTGTCCTGCCTACGCTCCGTCACATGTCATATCACTATAATAGAGTACAGGGGAGCTGGGATATACATTACTGTATACATGCCATATCACTATAATGGAGTACAGGGGAGCTGGGATATACATTACTGTATACATGTCATATCACTATAATGGAGTACAGGGGAGCTGGGATATACATTACTGTGTACAGTTTTATATTTTGGACTCTTTATTCTAAAGAAAAATGTAATTTCATAAGCTTTAGGGGGCGTGGTTGGGTGCAGGGCTGGGGGCGGGGTTGGGGGACGGTCCGGGGTGGGAGGCAGACCAAGGTTTGCTGGGGCAACTGGTGGAGAGTAAGGTTTGTGCCTGGCTAGTAGGTCTAGACTCGAAATTTTAAGCCCTTGCATACCCAATGTAAAAAAAAGATGTGCCAAGAGCGTGTGCCCTGCACATTTACCGGTGCCTCACGGAAAGGTCCCAACCACCCTGATACCTAATTACAGCAGTCACATGACCATAAACCCTGCCCCACCTCCAGGCATCACAAACCCCTTAAAGGGCTGGGAAGCGCCGGCACCAAGGAGTTAATCAGGACCACATGGCTTAAACCTGAAAGAACTAATGCAGGCTATAGACAGGTCGTTTATCGGCCGAATTGTCGGCCGAAAAAACGAAAAATCGGTCGTTCTGTTGCCACCAATGCTTACGAAAATAGTTTGTTTTTCGTAAGTTTTTCCAGCATGACCGATAAAAGGAAGGAACCGCGAAAATCGGCCGACGACATTGCCCACTAACGGTGTGAATATCGGCCGATTATTCTTTCGGACGAAAATTTGGTCGATAAACGACCTGTC